CAAATTTCAGAATCATGTGAAAACTAATTTCTTTCTCTAAATGCCTTTCCCATGCCTGGAATTTCTCAATCACCTAATTTACATGTGTTTCATTCTTGTGAGATTGAACTTCCATAGAACCTCTGAAAGTCTCTGAGTTGAATGCTTCGTGAGTAGGGTGCACACCCATCTACTCTGACTCTAGTCTTCTTTCTGTGGAACCATTCTCCCACTCTATGTTCAGTTCCAAGAAACTTCTCCTGTTCTGTGACACCATTCAAATGGTATGGTTTTGGGGAGATTTCGCCTCTCCATTTTCTACCAAGTTTCTGCCTGATCTATTTATTAATAACTGTTTTTGCCCCTTTTTGGAAATTGCCATCACATCACTATGTCTGGGCCTGTTTCTTCATTGCAGAAAGTACTGTATTTCACTATTGGGTCTGTGAGAGTAGGTCTTCCTTATCGCAGACATCTAAGGAACTCTGAGACCATACAAAAAACATTCCCTTGGTGGTGTAGGATGTCTGGAATTCATAGAACAGAGCTGGAAGGGAAATTTTGAGTTCTGGAAGCTATATATGCAGAACTTCCAAACAGTGATCACATAAGGAAAATCAGTGCCCAAACATTGTGAAATCATTTAAAATGTGATAGAGTGAGAGGGAAAAAATTAATTTAAGACATTCGTAGAGTATAAAATATATCTTACCAGAGAGATGCCATATCTGATCACATTGTTTTCTATGGATAAAGCTTAGTTTCTATTGCAATTCAGCCTGGGATAAATGTGTATTTCAGCAAAACAGATGATCCATGCGCTGTGACCAAGTGTTCAAAGGACAGAGTCCTTGTCAGTGAGTCATATATTCACGGAGAATAGTGCCCTCTGGGGTGGGGGACTTTCAAGCTACCCACAGCACATTCCTCAGAGACTTCTTAGTCTTGAGTTTCCCTGAATTGTGAGCACCAGGATGCCTTTTACCAAAGTCAGAGATAGTGAGACCTGGCCAATCCAATTACAAAGGTTCTGATGCCAGAAGTTAACCATCGTTTAAACATATTTGTGTGTTTCCCTGTTTTCATGGCAACTGTTCCTATAGTATTGGTATTTCCTATGCTTGCTGAAATTAGAGAGATGGCTCGTGAACTCTGGAAATAAACAGACAGCAGTGGGAGATGAGCTAGTCTTTGATGAGTACCCCCCTTGCTAATCTTTGAACTATTAGACTTTTTAGGGGCGGGGTGAATCTAATGGAGTATAGAAAAGGCTTTATAAGGCCTCAAAAGTCTCTGTACTTGCTTTTGCAATGTTCTAGTTTTAACATATGAAAAAGTACTAAGAGTATTCTGAGAAACAAAGCAATCTGAGATCTACTTTTCATTTACATCTCTTTTCATTTACCAGGTACCATATAAGTTCCTTTTAGTGCCCAACATTGAAACTCTTTATAGATTTATGAAAGAAATATGAAAATCTCTGTCCATATGTTTTCTCTTATTCTTGCTTTTTCAAACCAGAAGCAATATTTGTTCATATCTTGGTATGTGTTGCTCCAGTTTTCTTTATATATGCTTCTGTAGACACAGATGATGGAATAATATTTTATTATCCAGTTTATTCAAAACAAAAATTGCATTTGAACATTTTAATCAATTTTATATCTGCTGTGAACTAGCTACATAAAGAGAAATTAAGACAGCATTTAATTTAAACATACTTCCCTTTAGTTATTAAGAAAAAAATTCCAAAAAAACAAAATAAAAAACTATTTGAACTCTTCCTTGCACTCTTCAGGAGTGGATATCTTAAACATTGGTGGCGGAGTGATTAGCTGTGATCTGTTCATTTTAGCTAATGGCTGCCCCACATGTGAAGAATAGAACAGTGTCTTACATTTTTCGTGGCTGCTATCTTTCAGAAGTAGATCACCAGGCCTGTCTTCCAAGAAGGTTTGAACTGCCAACCTTTTGATGAGTTGTCTAGTATTTGACCATCTATACCAGTGAGGAATTCTACACGAGACTTATGAAAACCCATTGGAACGGTCCCACTGTGTAATATACAGATTGTTTTAAGTCAGAATGATATGAGGGTCAAAGCCTTTTGTGTATATATGTGTGAGTATGTTAAACAGGGCAGGGAAATATGCTTAAACACGCTTAACCAGGTCTCTGTGATTAGTCATTGGTTGAAGACGAGTTCTCTCAGTCACATACACTGGTTTTAGTCTTCTTATGGTGATTTCAGAAAATTCAATAAACAAAATGATCCAAATCAAACCACTGGCTGGGAGGGAATCCGCTCACCAGTTCAATTCAAAAAAGAGAAGGTGACTGAGAAGGTGATGGTCATTGTCTTCGGAGATTCCAAAGGTTATCGATAGATTTCCTGGCAGAAATAGGACAATCAAGAGAACGTATTATGAAGGAGTTTAAGACAGTTGAAAATTGCCTGAATGAGAAACGTTCCGAAGACAGGCCTGCCAATCAATGCAGAAGACTCCATTGAAAACCCTACGGAACCCAGTGCTACTCTGATATGTTTAGGACTGCCATGAATTGAAATGGGATCAACAGTCATTACTCTTTAAACAACAAGAATGTTAGGTTTGGAAGAAATTTACTTATTCAATTAAATCTTGTCTAATGTTCATATACACAGAAAGTTATAACATGGACAAGAAATAAGTAAACCGTTATAAGTATTTTGAATTCTA